TTTAAGGTGTAAAGGAAGAAAACTACTTTTATTTCCTCAACCCTAATGAGTTCTTAGAAAGAACGCTGTAACAACAAACAGATTAACAAAGCAAGAGCAAACACATGTTTATGATCATGTATACTTTATATGCATTGGGAGATGCCCAGGGAATGAATAGTTCTCAAAGAGGTGACTCAGACCTCTAGTTTCTATAAACTTCAATAAAGAACATTAAGGCTCAACACGATGACTCACACCTATAATCCCAGTACTTTGGGAGGCTGAGGCCAGAGGACCCCTTGAGCCCAGGAGGTCGAGGCTGCAGTGAGCCATGATCATGCCACTGCACGCCAGCCTGGGTGACAAAGCAAGACCCTGTCTCAAATAAACAAACAAAAAACACGCTAAATTTCTAAAGAAAGGACAAGACAGAAGAAAAGAACTTTGGGTCTCTAGAGTTGGCAAATTGTGGGAAGGCAAATAAATGGTAGATAAAATTCACTTAGCAAAGCTTGTTAATGGAGATTCCTGCTGTGGCATCTCCACTCAGGTGTGGTCTAAAGTTGTCTTCAGTGATTAACCTTTGTCCTTCCAGGTAGAGAGGGAAGAAGGGCACCTTTGTCTTTGTAAATCTGTGTCCTGCTTCTAGGTAAACAGAGGAAGGGCAGAGAGCTTTCCTGTAACTGCCTCTTCCCACTTGCTCTTAGCTTAAACATCTTTATGTCAAAGAGGCATATTTTTTGGTTAACACATCCGGATTTCCTTCAACACTCTCCATTACATCCAAATTTGGTTCATATTACTGTTTGTACTGTTTTATCCTATTAAATTTAGAAAACATATATTTTAAAAAACATTTTGAAAACTAACTTCATAAAATACATTTTTAAATGAAGTGTGCTTTGAATAACTTTTTGAAGCACACAGATTGTAAGTTACTCATCTGGTCTAACATTGTTATTTTGCAACAAAGAAAACGGACTGAGAACCTGCTACCTGCTAGACCCAAAAGAAAACAGAGAATCTACAAAATGCTGAGAAGCTCTCCATCCCTTTGACAATGGCCCTAAGATCACCTTTTCTGGGAGAGGAAGTAAGTGACCTCCAGGTCTGTCTGCTCTATACAGCTACCTCATAATTGTCCACAGTCAAATGTTTGTTTGGCTAATTGATTTGTTGTTGCTGTTGTTGTTACTGTTGTTTTTTGAGATGGTGTCTTGCTGTGTCACCCAGGCTGGAGTGCAGTGGTGCCATCTCAGCTCACTGCAACCTCCACCTCCCAGGTTCAAGCAATTCTCCTGCCTCAGCCTCCTGAGTAGCTGGGATTTACAGGCATGGGCCACCATACTCAGCTAATTTTTGTATTTTTAGTAGAGATGAGTTTTCTCTGAGTTGGTCAGGCTGCTCTCAAACACCTGACGTTGCGATCGGCGTGCCTCAGCCTCCCAAAGTACTGGGATTACAGGCATGAGCCCCTGTGCCTGGCCTTGATGGCTTAATAAATACACTTCACATATGGAAATGGAAGGTTGTCAATAGTTCTAATAAATAATTCTTATACCTGCATGGAATGTAAACCAAATTTTGTTAACTTCTACCCATAAGAGACATTAAAAGTATATCTGGAAAATTAGATTCTAATGTCAGGTCAGGCCTGAAAACCAAGAGCCTACCTAAAATATTAAATGTTATAGAAAAAGGTATTCCTTCCTTCAATCTTGTTGGATGCTTTAATAGGGTCCACTCCAAATCAAGGGTGTGATGATCACTAATTTTTAAAAATCTATACTCCACAAATATTTGAGTACCTACTGTTCTTTGTGTATTTCCTGTGTGGCTTTTTGATTTTTGTTGTTGTTGTTGTTGTTATTTTATTTTATTTGCACTGAGCAAAAATCGCTTGTATTACCAGGGGAAAAACTATGCAGATACAATGTTAAATTCTCACCACCAAAACCGAAAGCACTACAAGAATTTCATTCCTCATTCATCCACAAGGTGGCGTATTACCATTTTGCTTTTTACTGATATGTACCTAGAACTGCAGTGACCATGAAACAAGAAATGCAAATGGAAAATGAAACTAGGGAATAAGGCTCATCAGCCCCTGTGTTAGGCTCGGGAGAATTCTGTACTCAGCAATGTTTGTCTTGCTCATTGCTTCATGTGTTTGGATTTGGTTCTTTGGTGAGGCATGGCTATTGCATTCTACCTTCTTCCTCAATCACAAAAGTATTTGATAAAAAGACTGTCCTAATTTGGAAAGTTAATACTGCTATTTGGTGCTTCCTTTGAACATATGTTTCACTATAGAAAAATAAAATGAAGGCAGGGTGCCGCAGCTCACACCTGTAATCCCACCACTGTGGGAGGCCGAAGCAGGAGGATCACCTGGTGTCAGGAGTTTAAGACCAGTCTGACTCACCAACATGGTGAAACCCTGTCTCTACTAAAAATATAAAAATTAGCCAGGCGTGATAGTGCATGCCTGCAGTCCTAGCTATTCAGGAGGCTGAGGCAGGAGAATCTCTTGAACCCGGGAGGCGGAGGTTGCGGTGAGCCAAGATCGTGCCATTGCACTCCATCCTGGGCAACAAGAGCAAAACTCCGTCTCAAAAAATGAAAAAAGACTTTTTTAGGTTCCCAGAAAAATTGAGAAGTACAGAAAGTTCGCATATGCTCCCTGACCTTCAACACACATATACACAGCCTCCTTCACTCTAGACATCCTGCACTAGGCACTAGAATGTACATGTTACAACTGATATTTCTACGTAAATGCATCATCACCCAAAGTCTGTAATTTACATGAGGATTCACTCATGGAGTTATACATTCTATAGGTTTGGACAAAGGGATACTGACCTGTATCCACCATTATCTTATCATATAGAGTGTTTTCACTGCCATAAAAATCCTCCGTGCTTTGCTTATTCATCCCTCCCTCACCCCTAATCCTTGACAACCACTGATCTTTTCACTGTCTTCATAGTTTTGCTTTCTCCGCAGTGACATATAGTTGGAATTATAAAGCATTAGCATTTTCTTTCACTCAAAAATATGCAGTTAAGGTTCCTCCACATCTTCATGGCTTGATGGCTCATTTATTCTTAGCATAGAATAATATTCCATTGACTGTTTGTATCACACTGTATTTTTTGTGTCACACTTGATTTTCTTATTCACCTATTGAAGGATGTCTTGAATGCTTCCAAGTTTTGGCAATTCTGAATAAAGCTGCTCTACACGTCAACCTGCAGGTTTTTGTGTGAATATAAGTTTTCAACTAATGTGGGTAAATACCAAAGAATACAATTGCTGGACCATGTGGTAAGAGTACGTTTAGTTTTATAGAACACTGCTGCACTGTCTTCCAGAATGACTATACCATTTTGTATTCCCACCAGCAATGGAGGAGAACTCCTAATGCTGCACATCCTTGCCAGAACTTGATGTGGTCAGTGTTCTGGATTTGGGCTCTTCCAATAGGCGTATAGTGGTCATTTGCATTTCTCTGATGACATATGATGTGGAGCATCTTTTCATATGCTTATTTGCCATCTGTATATCGTCTTTGGTGAAGTGTCTGTTCAGGCCTTTTGCTCATTGCAAAAATCAGGGACCAGGTGCAGTGGCTCGTCCCAGCACTTCGGGAAGCCAAGGTGGGAGGATTGTTTGAGCCCAGGAGTTCAAAACAGCCTGGGCAACACAGTGAGACCCTATATCTACAGAAAATATTTTAAAAATTAGCTGGGCATGGGTGATACGTGCCTGTAATTCCAGCTACTTGGGAGGCTGGTGTAGAAAGATCACTTGAGCCTGGGAGATCAAGGCTACAGTGAGCCATGATTGTGCCACTGCACTTCAGCCTAAGCAACAGAACAAGACCGTATCTCAAAAAAAAAAAAAATCATCAGGTTGTTCACTTTCTTCTTTTTGAGTTTTAAGAGTTCTGGCCAGGTACAGTGGCTCATGCCTGTAATCCCAGTACTCTGGAGGCTGAGGCGGGTGGATCACTTGAGGTCAGGAGTTCAAGGCCTTTTCGGCCTTAGCCCACCTGCACCCAGATGAATAAACAGCCGTGTTGCTCACACAAAGACTGTTTGGAAGATTACAACAGTTACCAGTTTTGACAAGATTTTAATGAATAAAAGAATTGCTTAATTTGTACTGCAAAATGGCATGTTGGCCACAAATCTGCAATGAGATAGGCACAGATGATGTTACACTTTTTTTCTCATGCTTCCATGAGATGGGGATTCAACAATTCTTCCAGGAATAATGTAAGCTATGACACAGTTTGATGAAATCCACAGAAGTTAATTTGATGGCAAGGAATTTACTAAGACGGTATCCTTTTTGTTGTTGGTGTTTATAAATACAATCTGAAATAATCTGTTAAATCAAAGGCTTGCTTTTCCTTGAACCTGACAGAGTTGGTTCACAGTAAAATTTACCACATCAGAACTATTTGTTGACATGTTACTTTCTAACGTGCATTCGGCACTAGATGCTAGAGATTACAGAGAATGGTTTGCCTTTGAATCAAAGGTGTGGCAATTGACTGTGTAAACATTTTCTGAATTGTGATGTTTTTTAAGGTCAGGAGTTCAAGGCTAGCCTGGCCATCATGGTGAAACCCCATCTTTATAATAAATAAATAAATAAAGAAGCCAGCAGGGGTTGGGGAGGAATTGAAGAGGCCATTTTGCCTTCCTAGTGAATTGAATATCCATTCTCATAGGCAGGCCAAAATCAGACTATAATATTTTGTTTAATCTTATAAAAAGTATCTAGTTTTTCAATACTTTAAAAGTCCATGCATTTTTCAAAAGCTAAGCAGAACCTGGAACCCAGACCTGGGTGCTGGGGAAGCAGTCTGTGCAGCAGGAGCCCACCTCGGGCACACATTGGAACTAGGGGGAAAAAGTTGCTTCTCCCTGTAGTGTCTCTCCAGGTTTCATGACTGACACAGGTTAACATTATGGCAATAGGCAAAGTAATAATTTTTTTTATCATTAATAAGATGGAAGATGTTTATTGCATTCTATTTTTGGTGGGACAAAAATGTAACATACATTTGTTTAGCCTGACATTGTGAAATACACAAAACATGTAACTAAGTAAGCAGGATTTTTCTATTCCTAGTCGATTTCTGAGGACTAAATCGTGAACTGCTCCCAATGTAATTAAATATTTCTTGCAATAGTTGGGCACCAAGTTTAAGATTTATTAATTTTCTCCTCTCAGTATAGGCAGCAATTCACCATTTTCTTCCAGTTCCTTCACAATATCCAATCCTCCCACCAGCTCCCCTTTCATATACAGCTGAGGATACATCGGTCGATTTGAGTAAGCTTTTAATCCTTGCCGCACTTCTTCATCCTCCAATATATCATATGTTTCATATTCAACATCAGTACTACTTAGTATTTCCAGAATTTGTTTGCCGAATCCACATTTTGCTTCTTGTTTGTTTTCTTTCATAAAGAGCATCACAGAAGCTTTATGTGCAGCCCTTTGAGGCTTTCCTTTAACTTGGGAGTTTTGGGACAAATTGTATCTAATTCTTCAGATGCTTCTAGCTCCTGAATTATATGAAGTCCTCCTATGAGCGTTCCAGAAACGTAGAGCTTAGGATAGGTAGGTCAATTGGAAATGGCTTTGAGCCCCTGTCGAACCTCATCATCTGAGAAGATATCAAAACTGCTAAACTGAATATTACGTTTGTGAAGAATTTCCACCATCTGCTTGCTGAAACCAAAGTGTGGTTCTTGAGGAGTTCCTTTTATAAACAACATGCAAGGGGCAGCATGAGTCAATTTCTTTAGGCGAAGGTTGAGATGTTCTTTAAGATGTTCATTAGCGCTGGGTGGGAAGGAGCCATTAGAGGCAAGCCGCTGAACTTTTTTGGTCAACTCTGGGGCATGCGCGCCAACTAATCAGTCGATTTTCTGAGAATTCTTGAAAAACAGAAAAGTGGGAACAGAGCTAATTTCATATTTTTCAGATACTTCAGGAACACCTTCAGCTTCCAACTTCGCAAATGAAACTTGAGGACGTTTTTTAGCCAACTCTGCCATAACTTCGTTCATCTGGTGCCCAGACATGGAGCACAAGGAGGGACTTGGCTTTGAGGCACAGCAGCTCCTCAAACTGCCTGGCTGAGCCGACTTCCTCCACAGCCGCCCCCGCCGCCCCCGCCGCCCCCGCCGCCCCCGCCGCCCCCGCCGCCCCCACTACCATGCTCAGGAACAATATTGAAAAGACCCAGCTCCATTTTCACAGAGTAGATAAGGAATGAATTTGGAACTGAGAGGCAATAAATGGATAATAGGTACAGTAATTAACGTGGACTGGCAGACTTCAGGTAAGGCTGGATCTTGGGGTAGCCCAAAATGTTTATAATAAACTTCATCTCAAAAAAAAGGAGAAAAAAATAGACAGGACCTGGGCCTTAAAGTCTTTCTGTATCACAGAGCACTCTGAACAATGTAAAACTGGATGATAGATAACTAAATCCCTTTTTGGGCCCTATTCAAAATGAAAAAGTCAAAAGTTTCTTATTGGTGTCAAGACAAAGAGGATTCATGCGCCCCATCTCAGAAAACAGTAAAAATGAAATTGGCCATCCCATAACCAAAATCAACACAAACGTACTTGTTCTAGAACTTTCTTTCTTTCTTTCTTTCTTTTTTTTTTTTTTGAGATGGAGTCTCACTCTGTCACCCAGGCTGGAGTGCAATGGTATGATCTCGGCTCACTGCAACCTCTGCCTCGCGGGTTCAAGCAATTCTCCTGCCTCAGCCTCCCGAGTAGCTGGGATTACAGGCGTGTGCCACTGCACCCAGCTAATTTTTGTATTTTTATTAGACACAGGGTTTCACCATCTTGGCCAGGCTGGTCTCGAACTCTTGACCTTGTGATCCACCCGCCTCAGCCTCCCAAAGTGCTGGGATTACAAGCCTGAGCCACCGCCCCTGGCTCTAGAACTTTCAATTAAAAAGGACATTGAACCATCACAAAAGTTCATATGAAAAACATCACCCAAAGGCTAGTAAGGAATAGTATTTTAATTCAATTTCTTTTTTCAGACAAAATTTCGCTCTTGTTGCCCTGGCTGGAGTGCAATGGCACGATCTCATCTCACTGCAACCTCTGCCTCCCAGGTTCAAGCGATTGTCCTGCCTCAGCCTCCTGAGTAGCTGGGATTACAGGTACCTGCCACCAGAGCCAGCTAATTTTTGTATTTTTAGTAGAGACGGGGTTTCACCATGTTGGCCAGGCTGGTCTCAAACTCCTGACCTGTGATCCACCTGCCTCGGCCTCCCAAAGTGCTGGGATTACAGGTGTGAGCCACTGCACCTGCCCTCATTTTTTTTTTTAATAGAGTTTCTCTCTGTTGCCCAGGCTGGAGTGCAGTAGTGTGATCATGGCTCTTTGTAGCCTTTACCTCAAAGACTCAAGTGATTCTTCCACCTCAGCCTCCTCAGTAACTGGGACTAAAGGTGCTTGCCACCATGTTCAACCAATTTTTTTTTTCTTTTTTGGTAGAATCGAGGTTTCACTATGTTGCCTAGACTGGTCAGGAACTCCGAAGCTGAAGCCTCCTTCCTTGGTGTCTCAGAGTGCTAGGGTTACAAGAATGAGCCACTGCACCTGGCCAGCTAGCCCTCCTTTTTTTTTTTTTTAATACCAAGTCTTGCTCTGTGGCCCAGGCTGAAGTGCAGTAGCTCAGTCTCAGCTCACTGCAACCTCCGCCTCCCAGGCTCAAGCGATTCTCATCCCTCAGCCCCCTGAGTAGCTGGGAATACAGGTGCATGCCACCACACCCAGCTAATTTTTGTATTTTTAGTAAAGATAGGGTTTCACCATGTTGGCCTCGAACTCCTAACCTCAAGCAATCGGCCTGCCTTGGCCTCCCAAAATGCTCGGATTATGGGCATGAGCCACTGCACCTGGCCTCATCTCTTAAAGTAACACGCACACACATACACAGGAAAAAGAATGAAAGAATATATATTGAAGTAGCTCAATTTGGGTAGTGGAGTTACAGATGACTTTTACTTTCTCATATCTAAATTTTCTAAATTGACCATCTATTACAGAGGAAGGAAAGTGAATGAATATGTTAAAATGTCTTGGCAAAATTCCCAAATGGGCTAACAACTAGGTGCACTGAAATTTAGTTCTGACACTAACCACCTGGGTTAGTATCAGACTCCACAAGGTAAGGCTCAGTCCTCCACAAGACTGCCCTCATGTCAGATGCCAGCCCTCAGTAGGGACCCCAGGTCATCCACACTCTGATCTACTCGCTACAGATTTGGGGGTCCCATGATCCACTCAGTTTCCATAACTTGCTAGGAAAACTCACAGAACTCAGGAAAGTGCTATGCTTATGATTACAATTTTATTATAAAAGTTACACATAGGGCGGGATCTGGGAGGGAACACAGAGCTTTCTTGCTCTTTCCTCTTAAAATCAGGAAACATCTCCCTCCCAGCCCATCAATGTGTTCACCAACCAGGAAACCCCACTGAGCTTCTGTGGCCAGAGTCTTTTATTGGGGTTTCATTATCTAGGCATGATTGATTTAATCACTGTCTACTCAACTGAACTCAATCTCCAGCCCCAGTCCCCTCTGAAGTCAGGAGGTCAGGCTGATATCAAAGCGCCAACCCTCAAATTAAGTGGTTGGTCTTTCCAGTGACCAGTACCCTTCCTGAAGCCACCTGAGAGCCTGCCATTATCAACTCATTAGCACAGCAAAGACTCCTATCCCTTAAGAAATTCCAGGGCAGTCGAGATCCAGGATGGCTGATTGCTGGCGGCTCAGGATTGTGGCTCCCAGTGAGAGCGCGGAGAACGAGAGGATGCCGCACTTTCAGACGAGTTTTTGTTGCTCGCGGACCGGGGGATTCCCAGGGGAGGAGCCCCTGCGGAGGAGCCCCAGCGGAGGAGCCTGGTCGCCAGGCCAGTGGGACTCTTGTGGCCGGTGCGGCGGTTTTGTTGGTGCGGCGGTTCTTGGTGCAGAGTGGGCGGGACTGGGCCCCCTTTTGGTCGAGGTTTGGAGCTCCAGGAAGGCAGAGTTGCCTATTTGGCTGATTGAAGTAGGAACTTGGGAGGGAGGCTGGGCCAGGATTCCCGGGCAGAAAGGCGCCACGAATCTTGGCGCCGCTGTTTTGGCCAGGCAGTGGGTTGCTCAGAGACCAGCTCTGGGAATCAACAAGTTGGATGTCCACTCAGAGACCTAATTTGAGAGTTGGTAGTTGCAGGGGCGACAGGTGGATGAATTTGCAGTGATGGGAAGAAACCAGCGTGAAGGGGCTGAGAGTGCCCAAAATCAGAATGCCTCTCCCTCTATAGGGGATCACAGTTCCTTATTAACAAGCAAACAAGGCCTGATGGAGAACGAGTGCATTCCAATAACAGATTTAGGCTTCAGAAGGTGGATAATAACAAACTTTTGTGAGTTAAAAGAACATGTTCTAGCCCAATGTAAAGAAACTAAGAACCTTGAAAAAAGGTTTGATGAAATCCTAACGAGCATAGACAATCTAGAGAGGAATATAAGTGAATTATTGGAACTGAAGAATACAATACGAGAACTCCGCGAAGTATGCACAGGCTTTAACAGTCGAATTGATCAAGGAGAAGAAAGGATATCAGAGGTCGAAAACCAACTTAATGAAATGAAACGAGAAGACAAGATTAGAAAAGAAAGAGTAAAAAGGAATGAACAAAGTCTCCAAGAAATGTGGGACTATGTGAAAAGACCTAATTTACGTTTGATAGGTGTACCTGAATGTCATGAAGAGAATGAACCCAAGCTGGAAAATATTCTTCAGGATATTATTCAGGAAAACTTTCCTAACCTAGTAAGGCAGGAAAATACTCAACTTCAGGTAATACAGAGAACACCACAAAGATATTCCTCAAGTAGAGAAACCCCGAGACACATAATCATTAGATTCACCAGGGTTGAAATAAAGGGGAAAATTCTAAGGGCAGCTAGAAAGAAAGGTCAGATTACCTATAAAGGGAAATCAATCAGACTCACAGCAGATCTCTCAGCTGAAACCCTACAAACTAGAGATAGTGGGAGTCAATATTCAATATCCTCAAAGAAAAGAATTTTCAACCCAGAATCTCATATCCAGCCAAATTAAGCTTCATAAATGAAGGAAAAATAACATTTTTCACGAACAAGCAAATACTCAGAGATTTCACCACTACCAGGCTTGCTTTACAAGAGTTTCTGAAAGAAGCACTATATACAGAAAGGAACAACCAGTATCAGTCATCCCAAAAACTTACCAAAAGGTAAAAAGTATCTCCATAATGAAGAATCTATATCAACTAATGGGCAAAATAGCCAGCTAGCATTAAACGACAATATTAAACTCACAAATATCAATATTAATCCTAAATTTAAATGGATTAAATGCCCCAATCAAAGACAGGCAAATTGAATAAAAAGTCAAAACCCATCGGTTCGCTGTATCCAGATCCATCTCATAAGCAGGACACACAAAGACTCAAAACAAAGGGTTGGTGGAAGACTTACCAATCAAATGGAGAGCAAAAAAAAAAAAAAAAAAAAAACAGGAGTCGTAACTTTCGTCTCTGACAAAATAGACTTTAATAGTAACAAAGACAAACAGAAACAAAGAAGGACATTACATAATGGTAAAAGGATCAATGCAACAACAGGAGTCAATGATCATAAATATATACGCACCCAGTATAGGAACACCCAGATACATAACACAAGTTCTTAATGACTTATAAAGAGACTTGGACTCCCGCACAATAATGGCCGGAGACTTTGACACCGCATTGTTAATATTCGACGGATCAATGAGATAGAAAATTAACAGGGACACCTATGATTTGAACTCAGACCTGGAACAAGTAAACTCGGTGAATATTTATAGAATTCTTCACCCCAGGTCCACAGAACATACATTTTTCTCAGTATCACATTATACCTATTTTGAAAGTGACCACATAATTGGAAGTAAATCACTCTTCAGCATTTGCATAGCATTTCACAGACTTAAATGAAATATTGGTTGGCTGTTTGTTTGTTATTTTCTTCCCTTATTCCTTCCTGTCTCCGCTGTTAAGCACAATTATCGGCATAAAAGAGGTTTTTAATACCTATTTTTAGATTGCATTCCAGCCTGGGCAATAGAGCAAGACTC